GGCCGAAGGGTGTTCAGATGAGCTACATATGACCAGTACAGAAATGAGATCTCCTTTTCATTCCAAATCTGGAATGAAATCACGATCTCATCCTACCGAGATTTCTACAGTGAACCGTACTGCAAATAACTTGTCCAAACCGGCTCAATTATTTTCTACTGAATCTTCTACTGTATCCCCTCCCATGGATCACAACATGCCCCCAGCAGATGACTCTGATTGGATCCCGGTTACTACTAATAGAGGTAAACGGTCTTCTGCTGCCATCACTCGATCTAAACAACGCACACCCAAAGCTGTCACCTTCTCCAGTACTTCATCTACTAATACAACTACTACGGCAGCTAGCACTACTGTTGCTAGTCACACTCGTAGTCCTAGTCCATCCAGTTCTACGAAACCATCTGCTGCTCCAAAGCTTGCATCCCTGGCCAAGAACCCTACCCTCCCAGATGAAAGACAACCCCTCCAACACACTGGTCCCCTAAACAATGAAACACGATTCATGTGTGATTCCCCCCGTCCTGGAATTCAACCTCATACGTTGATTCCATTACGCATAGCTTGGAAGCTGCCTGCTGGTGAGCTTCCCCAAGGTATCGACACTCCACCGATCACTCAGGAGCCTTCCCAAACCCAACCAATTGCTCATCCTATTGAACAGACCTTGCATACCTTGTTAACGGCAAATGAATCTCTCCCGTCTCCATTCACACTCGTAGGGAGTGGCCGCACCACTCATCTGGTTGCAGCTTCCTACGCTAATCCCTGTTMCATTAACAAAATGAAACAAGACTTTGAATACTCTATCAGCCCCACCGACCGCCGTGTGCCCATCACCCTATGGCTTCAACGCCCCCTGACACCTGATTCAACTGACAGAGTTATTTGGAACTTCAAACGCTCTCTGATGGACACTCTCCAGGAGCAGCGCATCTGGATAGTTCGACATACTGCAATTATGAACTCAGTTCAAACTACCGAAGTTGCGTGGTTCAGTGGTAACCACCATCCTGAGGCTATCTCCCAGCCTATTCTCCAAAAGAAATTCAATGCATTAATCCAATCCTTTCTACACAAAAATAGAAAGGAATTGGAATCTCAAGTTGCTGCTAAAACACCAGCCCTTTCAAAGTGGGATGGCACTATTCCTGAGATCATGGTTACCACTGTGCGTCCCTTGTGGAAGGGACTAGTGAATGGTGCCCAACAAATCCATCGCACCTGGGCTACTGGAGTAGTTTGCCCATCATCACACAAGGCTCTAGTCCGCTACATTTTTGGTAAACTGAGCAATAGTTCACACCCGGCCTTCACTCGCATGGTCAACACAACCTGGGCGTTTCCGAAACACCCTATGTATCAGCACTTTGCTACGGCCATCTATGAACAGCAAGCCTATCTACGATCTCATCGTATCACCGTCATTCATGCCCTTGATCCAACTGCACTTGGTCATATCACACAACAATTACTTAAATTGCAAGGCGTAATTAGCATTCATCCCACCTACACAACTGAATCTCAAGGAGAATGGAAGCTTTTGACCCGGAATAGAAGAGGTCTATTCCAGTCATCAATAGGAAGTCCCTTCCTAGAATCATGTCATAGTTGCAAGGGGCAGAGAAGAGCCTTGCATTGATTCCTCTTGTGTATTTTCCATTGCCAAATTCAGGAAGCTGTATGTTAGAGATGAAAACATACTTAGAAGTATCAAAGCTTCCCTGGGCTGTAGTCGTGACTGAGCTGAATTTGTCTTGGAAAGGCATTGTTCCTGGTGGAAGGCATTGCTCGTGAATCAGGCACATAGTGCTTCCACTGTCTAAAAGAACTTTGAATGTCTGCATGGTTGGTAGGTCTTGTATGGCTTTACACACAAGAATGACTGCTGGTAGTACATCCAGTGGTGGTTTCAGAGCGCCTAAGGTTATTGCTGTTGGATTCTTAAGAGCTTCTTCATTATCAAGACCATAGAATTCAAAGCTTTCTTCTGGTGATTGAGTGGATGGTGTTGGAGGCAATGCAAAGAAAGCCTCTTTTGGATGTCACCACTGTTGATTTGGTCCTTGTCCTTGTCCTTGTCCATGTCCTTKGAACCGGACTGTCGAGCCTGCATTGCTGTTGGACTGTAATGATACATGGYTTGGAGGGCCTCCACTTGAGCTGGAGCCATTGTGTGTTGCAAGCTGATAGTTCTGAGGTTGAATTGTTTGTGGTTGGAAGTTGCTCATATTTCCGCTTTCATCAATGATGCATGAATAGGCACCTGGTACAAACCTCTTATTGCCATTGCTTGCATTTGAATTTCCTTGACTTCTCTGATTTCCCCTGTAGTTATTGTTGTTATGGTTGTTCCTCCGATTGTCACCTTGGTAATTGTTACCTTTGATATTGAACGGGCACTCTCCCCAAGTATGTTCTCCATTGTGCTTTTTGCAGGGCCTAGAATTGATCCTATTCTGTCTTTCTTCTGGGCTCTCATTCTGTCGGTTGTTATTGCGTTTCTTCTGCTTTCCATTCCTTCCTTGTCTTGCTGCAGCTTTGGTGTCATCTGCTGGTCTCTTCCTTGATTGTTTTCTTTCATTCTTGTCAGCAAGTCCCTTCTGGTCTGTCATAAATTTAATTATTTCCTATCTTCCAGGATGTCCTTCCCACAGCTGATATATTTATCTTGCCAAGCGCTGGGGAAAGAATAGAAAAGAATCTCCTTGATTTCTCGTTCAGATAAGGGGCCTCTAATACCATGAAGGAGGTTGGCTCTGTTGCAGCAAACGAGGACTTTCTCAGCGTGTTCATGACAAGTGATTCCATGGGGCTTTTGGATGGCGTCCGACTGTAGATATTCAATCACTTCATCTCTCGCTCTCTTTGATGGTGCATAGAATTCTCTAAAGGAGACCAGGGCTTGCTTCCACTGTTCTCTGGTGTTTCTTCCAATTCTCAGTCTGTCAGGGCCTCTCCACATGTTGTTCCAATTCTGTCTTGGTCTGTGTGCCAAAACCATGACCCAGTTCTCATCTATTTGTTCATCCCTCAGTTTCAAGTCATCCGCTGCATCCTCAAAAGCTTCCTGAATATGGAACAACTCCTGTACTCCATATTGTCCAGAGAAAACTGAGCAGTTTCTTTTCCTTCTCATTGCAGGGATTTGGGCTGTTCTCAAATTGGCTCCTCTTCCAGTTGTCTCTGTTCTGGCTGGATAATCCACAAAACGAGAAACCTTCTCAATGTCACTCTTCTTGAATTTGTTGTTGAGGGTAAGACATGATTGATATCATGAGTGTTGATGCCGTGAGGAATTGGTGTTTTTGGTTGGTTTCACCATGGTCGATGTATTATTTTTGGTTGATTTTCTTAAGGGTTGATTAATTTCAATACACGAAAACCAAGTAGTAATTACTGTGCATGAGATTACGTGTACTTTTAGAGTATAAGAAATAAAATTATAAGATTAGAATTATTCAAAGATTACCAAGCGTTCACGAGAATTCCAAAGTTCCGATTAGATCCTCATGTAGATCTGGTAGTGAATCTACATGAAGGTTCTTCTATTCCGGACTYGTGACATCTCTGTTCTTCGTGAGGTATTCTTGTACCTCGTATCTTGGACCTCTTACAATCCTCGGACCTCTTACGATGGATCCTATGATACGTACATAAGAATAGTACCATACGACACGTACGTAGGAATGGTATGTTCCCTTATTCCTTTCTTCGAAGCTTCATACCTTACGTATACTTCCGATAAAGTCGATACAGAATCTTACAACTGCAACAACAGACTCAAAATTTTGATTCGTGGTTTCCTCATAGATTTAGCACATTTTGGATTGGTCCGTTGGATCCATCCAAAATATGCCAAATCTATTACAAAATGTGCTAGATTTTTGGTCTGTCCATCTATCAAATTTAGCATTTCTATAATATTGGGAATCACCCAATGATAAGAAATTAAAGATGAACCATTATGTGTGTGTGAGCCTAAATCACGAGTAGTAGATAGTGAATAAGCTCACTCTTTATTGTAAACCACGTATTCACACGTACACTAAGGAGCCTATCAACATTTCACAGGTTATGAGCAACAACAGACTTACCTCTGCTCATTATCACACCTCTATGCCACAAAGTCACCTAGAGTAGTCTGATTTACTACTCCATAACCCTGATCACAGAGCTCCCTCAACAGAATCAAGCTCAGCGATTTGGGTCTTTTTCGCCGGAATTTTTGATAATTCTGGAAGAGAACCAGTACTAAATCACGAGTAGATAACGAATTTTAAATTTCATTTAATGCACGTTTGGTTTGTCCGGTTGCGATGCGATCTTTCCGCCTTCAGATCAGAAAGGGAACGGAATTTTTGGGAAGTTCGTGCAAGGTTGTGTCACATAGGTGTGGAAGCTGGGGGCTTCTGGGCGAAAGCTATAAATATATGGTCGCAACCAATCAATTGTTCCGAGTATTTTTCATCATGAGTACAAGTACGTGGTATTCGTTTTCTTCCATACACTACAGAACAGTAGGTTAATTTGCATACGTTTCTTGGCACCTCGCGATACAGTATTTTAGTGGTACAAAACAGTTCATTCAATCGCCCTTACCCCGCCCTTTCTTATCATGATTTTCGCCACTTTGAAAGTACCGTACGATAAAACAAGCAAAATTTTTCTTTTCCTCACACTCCTCTCATAAACCAAGAAAACGTGCAAAGCCACGAACAGCCACTCAAATATACACCATCGTTTATTACTTGCGTAAGCAGAATACTACCCCTCTAGGTAAGTTATTCGATTGCGGTCCTATGCCATGGAGCTGCAGGGTTGCAAGCTCATTTCATTGCCGAAAAAGGCAGAATGGATCGACGATGGTGACGCTGTCTCATCAGTTTTCCACTGCTATTATTGTTGTCGCACCTGTTCCTTTTGCAGCGAACCACATCATGAACCTCTCGGCTCTTGTCATTTCTGCACTTCCTCTCCTCGGTTCCGCCTCGGGCAAATGGGAGATTTTGCCCAGGGATCAACTCATTATTGATAATGATTTCCCACTTAGAGGGTTCATGACTTTCGCTTTCTCTTATCAGAACGACATAGAAAACCTTGTTGCAGAGGCGTTTCCCATTGAGGAGTGCGGCAATCCTGAGGCTGAGCCTCTGTCTTCCAGCGTTGTGGACGTTCGGATTTTGGAGGATTGCGCGATTTTTTATGGGCCACCCGACCAGTTGAGTCTTGTAACTTCAAGTGACAATGAACCTCCAAGGTGCCCGGAAGATCCAGATCAAAATTATGATATTGGTAAGAACTAGTCGTGTTGTAAGGGGATTCGAAAGAGTTTAGTATACAATGCCAGTTTTTGCTTACCGCGGCTTTGCCCTTGATTTCTTTCTTTTTGGGTTTACAACGGACAGGGGTGGTTGAATTTGTCATACCAGATGTTCAAAGCGAGGTCATTTTTGACTCACCATTTTCAGATCTGTTGCCGGGTCTTTCGCGATGTCATCCTGATCAGCCAGAACATCTCCAGTGCCAAGAATACGGCGAAACGTGCGGTCGCCCTGACTGCCATGAACTAGATGAAGAACTTTCTGAAAAAGATGAATTCTGTACGTATCCAAGTGGTGTGCTGATGGCTTTCGTACTGGTTCCGCTCTGTAGCTCATACCTTTCGATTGTTTTCTTTTCAAATGCAGGTTTGAGGGTTTCCTACCCAATGAGTAATGCAGACGCAGACAACCACAACAAATACCTCTCATACCTTGATCAACGTGTAACCATTCAACACAACGGTGGGCAGGGTTATGGAGTGTTCAACTTCAGGGCCTCTCTAGGGCAAGTCGATACCTATGGCGTAGTAGGTGATTATCAGACGGGCGTTGAGTTGTTTGGTTATACCTGTGATCACGCAGGGACCCCAGGACCCCCAGCACCCCAAGGATTAAAGCTCGGACAGGACTTTACTTTGTGCATGCCGAAAACTCATCAAAGTGCAAACACAGGAGTGGCAGGAATTACCACAGTTGAAGTCATCAGAGACGTGATGTGCGAGGGGCGATCCCTTATTGACTCGGAGGGGTCAAGTGCGGATGGTGGGATGTCTACTGTCAAGCTCGTAGGGGGGGATATGTGGAAGATCCGAAGTGTTGTTGTTTCCAGATACTTCCAGCGCGCACAAACCGATCCAAACGGTAACATGTTTTTTTCCTGCTCCGGTGGTGCAACCATTTCGATTCAAGGTAATATTCAAGGTAATAACAATCAAGGTAATAACAATCAAGATTCTTGTCGCCTTCAGGAAGAGGAGGTTGAAAGCGGCAACTTTAACGTCAAGTTTTCCCTTGCTGTTCCCGAGGGCGGCCGTGCCGACGGGCTTGTGGCCTCTGGTGTTTTGCCCAGAGCCAGTGCCGTTACTACTGCGGCTGGTGTCATGGCCATTGCCGTCGCTCTGTTGTAAAACAGCTTGATGGCGGCCTGACCTGGCTGTTGAAATGTGAAATGAAAAGAAAAGTGAAGTGCATGTCTTGGAAGGCCCAAACAAGTTAAATTGGGTGAGCGGCCCGACCCACCCGAGGCGCAAAACAAAAGAAAAATTAGGAGAAATAAAATAATCGTCGTGTCAGTTTAAATAAAGGATTACATACCAGCCTTATGAAGCATGTACAGGTTCCTCATTGAAGGTCCAGTTGTAATTGTAACAATAGGAAGCTATGAATAGTGCAAAAAATGCATCTCGAGAACACTTTTAGTTTTAGGTCCGGCAGGCACCACTACCGTGAAGTCCCAATACGGTACCGTACGGTACGCCACGCACCAACGAAAACTACTACGAGTTTTGATGTTTCGTTCGAGCGCAACAATACAGTACCGGGGGTACGTTCGGTACGGTACCATCACGAATGGGAATTGATTCCAGTGAACGACCGACAGTGCTGGATTTGGACTTCCTAGCAAAAGATAAACTGGATAGCAAGCCCGGAGTGGAAATCTATCGGTGAAGCAAATCATAATACCGGCCCGGTACATCAGCAAACGAAAAGCCGCAGTCACGGCACGGCACGGCACCGGCAACGGCACCGGCAACGGCACCCGCAAACGCAACGGCACCCGCAAACGCAACGGCACCCGCAAACGCAACGGCAACGGCAACCGCACCCATTGCACGGAACGACAAGCGTGCTACGAGGACAACTCGGCGTCGAGAGAACCAGGCGGGAAGAGAAAGCCCTTCCCCGCGCCGCGAACCGGGAGGATTTTCCTTGCATCGCATCGCCCCGCCTCGCCTCGCCTGCTCCGGGACACACGCTGCGGTACCGGACGGTGGCGCCGGTGCCTGGCCCGTGCCGGACGGTGCTGTCGCTTCGAACAAGACGCACGGCGCCATCGTGTTGCCACGCCGTTTCGGTTCGATCGCAATCGCAGTGACAATCGCGGAGGGGAACGGAAATGGAATCGAAAACGAAAACGCAACAACAACGACAACGACAACAGCAGCAGCAGCAGCAGCATCTGCCGAGGAGAGGGCGCAATCGTGGCATTCGTTATGAAACGACTTTTTTCTCAAACACACACACACACACACAAACACAACAATCTTTGCATTGTCTACCAATAGTGCCCTCTCTGGAGGTCATCAATAGATGTCTCTACTATAATACCGTACTTTTTATTTCGAGCTACTATGTATTGTATTATACAACGTGGTCGTCGCGCTGGGATGCAGATCGAATCCTGTTCCAATCGACTGCTCGGCTGTGCCTTCTTGTTGCTCTCGCCGTCCCCTGCAGCGTTCGATCTTTTGTTTCGATGATGTCGTTTTTGTTCCCCTTGAATCATCGCCGAAACATGCGTTTCGTTGTGTTTAAATCGTGCATCCGGCATCGTCGTCGTCGGTGCTCAGAAAGAAGAGATCCTCGGACTTGTCGACTCCGATTTCCGGAGTGCTGGGAGGCACGTAGTCGTCGGTGACCAGGTAGGGTTCGACGATCGCGGTCAGGGGGAACACGGTAGAAGGAGCCGTGTTGATAACGCGGACGGTGGCACCGCCTCCCATAGAGAGGGTAGGGCTATCGATGACGGCAAAGAACGGTTGTTCCAGGCCGTTGTCGGACATGATATCGATCACCTGCTTGCTGTCGTCGGGCCCTTGGATGAGCTCGACGCGGGCGTGGAGAGGACGTCCGTCGGTTTGAAGGTGGAGCTGGATGGATTCAACGGTGTCTTCGAACTGGAACGATTCGACGCCGTTGCTTCCGTGTACTACGAAGGGCTCGCCCAGATCGGCCAGGGCTCGAACGACGGCACCCTGACCGGCTTGCTTGCCGCCGCCGGCTCTGGCGTCCTCGACATCGGCTACCACACAGGCTCCCATGGCAAATTCCATGGGAGACATGTTCTTTACGGCAACCGAGTTGTGCGTGTTGGGGGTCTCCAGAACGGCCGAGAATGGATATGTGCAGCCGTCGTCAGAGGCGACCTGGATGCGCATGGGAGTCGATTCGGGTCCCTGCCAGACCTCGACTTGTGCCGACAACGGAACGCCCTCATTGTTGATCATAACTGAGACACGGTCGATCTCGTTGTTCATGATATTCCATGTTTTGAGGCACTTTCCACCCTGGATGCTCTTGATGGATTTCGAATTGGTCAAGGACTGAAACGCGCCACGAACGGCTCCGAGGTTTTTAGGAGTTCGTGCCTTCTTGGCAGCGGCGAGATCAAATTTCTTTAGCCCGCCCATCTCTGGCTTCGGGGGGGCAGACGAAGCGGCGGAAGCACCCGAATTGGAAGGTCCCTTCTTCAACACGTGTCTCAGAGCCCTCAGATCGGCGGCTTTGGTGAGTTCTTCTTGTTGGAACTTTTCGCTCTCGTTGATCTTGTAGTTCAAGGCCGTGGTGGTCGTCTTCAGCACGTTGTTGTTGGCGGGTGCAAAGGCCGAAGCGGAGAGGGCCTGATGGGCAACGAAAAGAGTAAAAAGTTGGTTGGCGATCTTCATGATTGAAAATAGTAGAAGTTGGAGGTGGTTGCTGCGAAATAGAAATGGAGTGAGCACGTGGTACAATAGCACCGTACAGAAAACGTTCGAAGTTGTGTCGAAGAATAGATTGTGCAAACACCCAGGATTTTTTGCGGGAACTGAGTTCGCAAGGAAAATACCGAAAGAACTCGGCTTTTTCTTTTTTGTTTCTGTTTTGCGATCCGTCGGTTGGAGTCAAAAGTGTCAACGACCCAGCCGTTTGTGAAGAAGGTATCTTTTCTCACCCAGCGCGCGCGGTGTCTATTCGAACTTTCAAAATCGACGAATATATCATACCACGCGAGACCGTCCCGAGCCTATTCAAACGGCACAACGGCTTTCTCGCGCGGTTGCGCGCAGAAGCACTCCATCTGTTTTTGAGTGTTCTCACCAAACGATCTTTTTCGTTCGTCGATCTGTGACTTGAGATGCGTTCTCATCGCCCAACCTCATGTTTTTGTATTCTCATGCCGTCACATGTACAACGGTACGTAAGCACTTGTATTGACAAGTCGATCTTGTAGTGTGTGACCACCACCGCATTTCCCGCCAAATTTCGGCATCAGAGTCGATCGTATCGTACCGTAAGATACGTACGAGTACAAACTCGTACGAATCACAGAAAGTTTCTTCATTGCAAGCAGATCTACGTCTAGTACAACCCTGTACGTACGGGTACGTAGGCATAATTGCTCCAGGAGATCTGTCAGAAGCACCAAGTACGAATACGTACGGTACGTACGTACGATACGAAAAAGTGGAAAAGATGTTGTACCGACATCAGGTACGTACGTACGATACGCTCCTGAAACGTACTGTACGTACTGTACATTCCAAAACCATACAGTACCTACCGTATGGTACCATACGTGTAACATTGAAGGAACTACCGACACCAACTTGCACAAGGGTACCGGTACCATTTTGCTTATTGACACTGCACACACAATACCTGCTTCTAGACACACCAAAGAGAAAAGAGCCTATTTCTAGGAGAAACCAAAGTGGAACACCGAGTCGACATTGGAGTTGAGTAGATTGGATGAGAGCAGAAAATACAATGCCTCAAAATTGTTGCCGCTATCACCGTAGCGATGGTGCTGCTTTGACGAGAACGATTCTGAAATGTTCATTTTCCCTTCTATTGCTATCTCCAATACTCCCTATGAAATCGACTGGCGCGACAGCCTTTGTTCAACGCAGCAACATCGGCTCAACAAAGATAGCAATCGAACTCAGCATCTACAATAATCTCCAGCGGATGCAGCCCCGAGCCATCCTTTCAGGGACAACACGAACGAAGATAACATCCCTTCGAATGGCTTCCAAACCGAAAGGCAGGAAAAAGAAATCCAAAAAGAAAAAGAGCAATGGGGGAGGAAAAGGATTCGGTGGAGGCGGAGCGGCTTCCGCTGCGCAACAAGGGAGTGATGCCTTCGTCGCCAAGCCGATCAAGGCCGACAAGAACGCCCTGGAAACCCAGTGGGACACATTTGCGTCCATCACCGACCTAGAGATCAAGTGCAAGTGCGATCCAGACAGCGACGACTGTGAGTTTTTCGAAGTGGTCGACGTCCACGTCCGGTACGGCAGTGACGGTACAGGAGACGCTACCACGGGTTGGTTCCGCATCGGCAAGGTCTGTACGTCCGCGAATACGTCGATAACTGCCGCCCTTGCGCTCCAAAAGGGGCTGATCCTGTGGACGGCCGTCCACATGCGCAGGGAGCTCCTGGCAAAGGGAGGAAAGGCTGGAGCCCGGTCGTTGGAGCTGGGATGGACATCACCGGCGATAATCTACATGGGAACGGAGACTGACGGACCCCTCGAGCAGGACGAAGTCGAAACCCATTTAAACGTACTGGCGGGGAAGCCCAGCCCTTCGTTGCTCTCGGAGGTGAAACCCGGGTCGTTTGGCTTTCGCCCTGATTGGAACCCAGAAGGATTTACGTACAAGCGACGGGAAAAAGCAGCCCTGAAGGACAAGAAGAAAAAATCGGGTCTGGAGGAACTACTCATCGATGAATAATATTGTACGTAACAGCTAGAGGAGCCAGAGGTTTTAGTGCATACATAATGCACAATGAATGCGTCGCGGTAAATAAAAGACAATTTACAATGATTAAAATCAAAACAGAACGAAGAGTATTATATATCCCCTTATTGGAGCAGGGCCCTTATGGGACCTTAATCGCCTTTTTTCAGAGGGTTGTGGGGGACCAAAATCAATTTACAGACCAAACCAATAGCAAATTCATGTTCTACAAAAACAATTACCTTAGAAAAGCGTTTCCTGGAGGTCGCGTATGTTGGTTTTCGCTCTAAGACAAGATGTGAACCAGTTTTGTGAGCAGGTTCAGAACACCCAAACACCCTAAAAACCAAAACAGTTATCCAAGGTGAAATCGTATATAACAAGATCTAGAAATTCTCATTGCAGAAACTAGCACACAGCCTGCTTCTCCTAAAACCGGTACCAGGGGACAATCCACCCAAAGCACAAAGAAAGAATTCACCCAAAAGTTAAGGAAATACAAGAGACTCTTGTGGGTTGGTACCCTTCCAAATGGCAAATTCTGTTGATGTAGCCACACAAAATCACAGAATCAACCTAAGGAAGCCTTCTAGATCCTAAAGAATTGTACAGACATCTTCCACTACCTCAGGGGTCATTGGGAAATCAAGAAAGTACAGACCAAAGTTGCCTCTCATAACTGTCCATTTACCCCAAAATTCCATGTTTTGCCAAATTTGGTAAATTAGATTTCAGTCCAGCCAGTCATTCTTAGGGGAAAACCATGCTTTTTTTAGGGTCCTATAGGGTCCTGAGCTGATCCAATTAAGGGATAGCGCTCGTGCGAAAAACAATTACACAAACACGTCCTTTTTCACGGATGTAATTGAATCTGTCGATGCTGGAGATGATCGTAGTATCACCTAAAAGTATAACTAATCGATATCGCAGTGATGGCAAACAAATCGCATGTTATTCTTTCTCTCGAGTTGAACCGAAGATGTGTTTCTACAGGATCATGTTCTCTTTCGGTCAAAGCGAAAAAGTATTGCAGCATGTAACTCGCCTTTTCGAGAGTTCTTGTTCTAGGAACGGAGAGCTTGTAGAGAGGCGAAAATATTTTTGTCAGTAGATTTGTCTTTTGGTTACTTTGAAAATCTATGATTTAAATCTATTAGGTGTTTTAAGAGATAAATGTTGGAACATGCAATGTCTACCTCCTCGGGGAGGTACACGGTTGTTTTTCATACAGTGTCGTAGCTTTTCGCTTGGACACTGGTAGTTACTCGGATGTGTGTTGAAGAAGTCTGCTGTGTTTTGTGTTGAAGATATGTATGTAGGTGTGTATGCAATCAGCTGTGAAGAACTCGGTTGCGTGAGTATTTCGATATTATTTCCATTCCAAACTCTTGCAACTCTTGGCGGTCCCACATCGCAGTTTCTTTTTGCCTGTGAGGATTGATCGGATACAAGCGAGGTTGCCGCTGCATTCCAGGGCATCGGTTTCTCGGTAGAATTTGCCTCCTCGGCAGGACTCCTTGCCGTTGCAGACCATCTTAGAGACAGAAAGAGATTCCACAAACTGGCAGGAATCTCTGCCGGAGCAGTTGACTGATTCGGTCTCATTGTTGTTGGCTCCAAAGATTGCACCCACACAGGATCCTTCTCCCTTGCAGTCGATGGTTCGAATGTTCTCAAAGACTGTATTTTGCAGAGAAGAAGAGCAGGAATTTTCACCGAGGCAGGTGATGCGATCGATGCCTTTGAAGGTGGCGCCCTCACAGGACTCTTCTACTAGGCAGCGGACCTGATAGAAGTCCTTGAACTTGCCGGTTGCGGTGAAGCTGGTTCCAGCGCACGACTCTCTGTCGGTACACTCGATGTCGCGGCAGTCTTCAAACATCATATCCTTGCAGTCGATGCACTCGAGGCGTCGGAGGTTACGAGAGTAGGATGCTACGATCCAGCCCTTCTCGATGGCCGATATCGCATCAACGGTTGTCATGGGGTTCGACTTGCGGGAGACCTTGCACCGGGGCAAAAAGTCGGTCGGTGCCGAAGAAATGCTGGGGGCGATGCTGGGCATTGTAGTTGTGGTTGGGCTGAGTGACGGGACAAGATTACTAAGCTTGAATTCGGTGGGGGCAACGGTGGGGTCGCCAGTGGGCGAACTCGAAGGAGCTCCACTGGGAGCTTGCGTAGGTGCAACGGAGGGACTGTCGCTAGGACCTTCCGATGGCGGGATGGACGGAGCGCTTGAAGGTACCATCGACGGCACGTCAGTTGGAACATCTGATGCCGACACAGTTGGGCTCATGGATGGAGCGAATGTGGGATACATACTGGGGGCGGAGCTGGGAAGGTTGCTTGGCAAAGACGATGGAACGTCAGTTGGACCCAGAGAAGGGGTCTCGCTGGGAAGCGAACTTGGGGCAATAGAGGGACTATCGCTTGGGGACATAGACGGGAGACCACTAGGCTTGGAAGATGGACCGGCAGAAGGTGCATCACTAGGCTGTGCCGATGGAGTCATAGAAGGAGTCATGGATGGGTAGGTAGAGGGAGCACTAGAAGGGATACTACTTGGTGCGTCGGAAGGAGAGCTACTTGGTGCGTCAGATGGAGCGACCGAGGGAGATTCACTTGGGTATTCAGTGGGAGCTTCGCTTGGAGAGGAAGAAGTGGTGGGCGATGCACTCGGGAAGAACTCTGGAAGGCAAAAGGATCCGTTGGGACAAGGGTTGTTTTGAATTTGGATGGGAGTTTGATTCAAAAGTTCTTCTTGCCTCTTTTGCTCTGCGATCCGTTTCTGTTGTCTTCGTTCTTTTCTTTTCTGCCTTCTTGTAAGATTACCAAGACGTCTGTCGGTAGGGGCTGCAGCTTCGATGCCTTTGATTTGACGACGAAGGAAAAACCCCATATCGCCGTCTAGTTGGGCTTCTTGTGCGGCGGCAGCCGAAGCGACAGCAACAGTGGCGATTGCCATGAACAAGATAGTTTTGTTTGATAGCATGGTAGGAAAAGTTAGTCTCGTAAGGGTCTTGTTGGATATGTCTCGGTAGATGAATAGAGTTTGGTTTTATGCTCTTGTTACTTTGTTTCGAATTTGGTTTTGTGAGATAGACTCAGAGTTGTTGGTATGGACAGAAACTAACTTCCCGGACGATGCGTGTATTTGTTAGTATGCAAACGGAACAATACGAGCTTAGCCTCTCACATTCAACTCCACAACTAAGTAACACATTCTTCGGCAAGAGACTTGAGCGCCCATCGCCAAATCCACTCTATCAACCCTCGCGGATGAGTCTTCGGAATTGAAAAGGAAATATCATTCCGGTCGGAATGGCGGGCCCAGCGTTTAAATTTCTTTTACACTTATGTTGACCCCTCCATGTAATACGTTGGTTAGTCACACTTTATGGAAACATTCACATGTCGTGATGTCTCTTTTGTGAGATTACTCGACTCTGCCGCTAATTACATGTACTACATTTAAACCCGATGTGATCCCAAAACTAGGCGACTTCCGGAAAAATTTGTCCATCGGCAAACCGGAACGAATGGTCCAGTACGATACGGGTTACATGCACAGCATTTTTGCTCAAAATTACTGTAGGTCATTCGTCATGGGAAAACGAAAGAAAAAATATCCCCTTTAAATAATGATAGGAAGACATGCGCCAGGTTAGATTAGATTTTGTATCTGGTAACAAGATTGAATATCTTCCGGTACTAAGAAGATGAGTGGTCGATTACGAGTACGAGCATAAAGGCAGCTAATAGGTCCTATTATTACAATCGTAGAAGTTTTTAGGGTAAGTCGGTGTCCCCCCTGAAGAATTTTCGAGGTCGCAAAATGAGACAAAATCGTCCGGTTTGAGTTCGAACTTGATGGCAAAAAATAATAATCTTTGAGTTGTCAAGCACTACATTATGCATTACAGTATGTCTTCGTGAAAAAATAATTCTCTGGTGGAAGTCATTGGGTGATTCCCGCAAACATAGATCTGTGTAAAAATGAGACCGGCCGGCTCGAAAAAATATGTAAATTACATATTTTTTATTTGGAATCCTTGACTTAACCATTTCCAGTCTCGGGAGCAGGCGCGCCCTAAACAGGCGCCAAACTTTCCATTCAAGTGTCAAGAAAAAAGCACATGTTCTTTGCTCGTCTCCTTCTTCCCCTGGAACAGAACACAGCATCATGCACCGACAGGAGCAAAGAGAAGGAACAAAGAGAAGGAACAAAGAGAAACAATGCTGATGGTGATAGCTGGTGGCGCATGGAGCCCCATACAGATTCTTCTGTTGTGGAGGAGAGAAGAAGAAGAGAGGGAAGAGAGGAGCTGGCGCCGCTGTCTTGAGAGGGAAGACACCGAAATCCCATGTGTCATTCACATACCGGTGGTACTAGTAGCTCATAAAAAGAACACAAGGATCATGGCTCCAGCTCCAGCAGCTCCAGCTGCAACAAGGTCGGCTCCTCGAGATCCCCCACCACCAGCACCAAGAATGATAGCAGCAACAGCTGCAAGGTTGGCTCCAGCAACAGCAACAGCAACAGCTGCAACGTCGACGACAGCTGCAATGTCAAGGACCACTGCTGCAAGGCCGACTGCTCAAGAAAGAGGTGGAAGATCGAAGGGTTCCACAAACTACTCCAGAAGGGAGACAATG